AGTCTCACTCTTCTCATTTTTTGTATTATACATATTAAAACAGCTCTCGCTTATTGTAAACCACATTGTAAGCCACAAGAAAAATGCCGTTGTTTTATTCCTCCTAGCTCTCCTAACTCCACATCTCTTCGCAATTGTGCCGATAAATGCGATTTTGATTAATTTATATTATTCTTCTTAAAAAATCATGTCATCATGTCATAAACAAATATTATTATCATCATCAATTATTTCTTCTTCCTATTTATTAAAGTCATTCCTGTTTATTAAAGTTATTATTCTTCATACTATTTATTAAAATGGTCGATTTTTTTTTAATAATTCTATACAGCTTGGCTTGCGTAGTTAAAACGTATAATTTATAAATATTTTTTTCATATACGAATTTCCATTTTAAATAAGCTAGTTTTCGAAGTAAGCTGCGTAGTTACACGTCTTGTAATATAATAAAAAATGGAATAATGGATTCATGGATTCAAAAATAAACATTTTTAAATAATCCGTTAAAGAACTTTGAGTTATAAAAGTCATATATGAATTTATTATATAGGAATCTGGTCTTATAATAAAAAGAAAGATTTCACTTTCTTTATCTAATATATATTTGTACATACTGTATTTAAAATATTTTAAGGAATACATACAAAACTATAGTAAATACCACGTATTTTCATTTCAATGCCTATAAAAAGCGTTATAAATCCAAATTATCCTTAATCCTTATTATGTGCAGAGCGCACATTATTCATAAAAGATCTGGCCGACAATTACTTTACCGACATTTTTTAACGACAGGGTAACCGACAAACGTTTCACCGAAAGTCATTTTACCAACAATTTATTTGGATTAAATTTCTTAAAGGTTAAGACATATACAATGATATTATGTGAACACGACTTCCATAGAATTTAACTAGAAGGACCTAAGTATATTGTCATTAATATAATAATGGAAAGTAGTGAAAATTTTCAAAAATACAATTAATAAAAATTTCTAATTTTAAAATGAAGCGGGACGTCGTAATGAATATTATATTAGTTCAATTGTTCAACGGAAGAGTTCATATTTAAAGGGGAGTTAGGATTATAAAATGTAAAATATATGGAGATTTGAATTTATTGTATCGCAAATTTGAGAAAATAATTCTGAAAAATTGGTTTTATTTTTATTGAGATCTTTTATTAAAGAAATTGAAGCAAAAGATAAAGTTTCGAATTATTGGTGCCAGATTTTATACATGTAAGAAATCGAGGCAAACTATTATACACTTATATATAGTTTGTAGCATTCCCAAGAGTCACTTTATTGATTGATCGCCAATAGTCATAGTGGAAACAGGTACCGGTGACTATAATCAGCCTATCAATTTTCTGTATTATGGTAAAGCACATGATTCATTCATAAATATAAAAGAGCAATCTAGGCCTAAAGAATGTTGTAATGAAGTTCAAAAAAGTAAAACTATGGATTTCCTGTAAAATTATTATATCTTTTTCTCGTCTCAAACACTAAGGTACCAGATACTTGAAACGTTTCCCTTTGGATATAACACTTGGGAGTATTTATATTTGATAGATTGTATTTGAAAATGATACATATAAAATCAGTTTGGGAGAAGCCAGTTCACTGAAATATTCTAAGGGACGATATTTTCACATAATAATACAAATGGCTTCACGTTTCTATTACCAGAGTTAGTAAAGGGAATTCTAGACTATCTATCATACGAAAATTCATTGTACAAAGTTCTTACTATTAATCGAACATGGTATTTGTTTTCTACAGAAGCCCTATACAGGCACGTTAAATTGTATCCTAAACATATTATCCCGTTGTGAAGGTGAAAAAAATCACGTGAATATGGAAGTGTCATGATTTGGATGATGACATTGTTAATCAACAAATAGTACTCATGTGATAAATAAGAAGAACGGTCTAGAACTTTCCTAATATGATCGTATCGCGATTACGCCTCACACTGGTTTATGTGTTACAAATCACCATATCTGAAAGCAACGAAAGTGAGATGACCTGATCCTGATGGGTAGAAAATATTTGGACAAAACGCGCAAGCTGAGGCAATAATCCAAGATCTCTTTTGGTGTTGGGTTCCTTTTCCGCATATAAAACTGATGCTGTAAAACAACGGTTTCATGAAAAGAAAATCAATTTGGCAGTTATTCCAGGTGGACTGACTTCTCGTTTATAACCACTTGATGTATCACTAAATAGTTCTTTTAAGGCAAGGTGAGTTATGTAAACTGCTTCAAATAAATAAATTTAATTAAATTAACTTTTAAAAATTAGGTACGAAATACTTGTAATCATTGAATGAATGAAGCTGTTAAAGATTACACAGCATCTGGGAAAATCAAAAGATCTTCTTGTAGCAAGCTGGGTAAAGTAAGTTTGGGACGCTCTTGATATTAATATGATTAGGTGGTCGTTCAGGTGTTGTGGCATTTCAAATTCTATGGATGGAATAGAAGATGCTTTAATATTTGAAAAATAGGGTAAATAGAGAAAACCCCGGAAAGATGGAGACAATAATAAAGAAAACGAAAATGAAATAGAAGAAAGTGACGAAAGTGAAATAGAGACCAGCAATGAAAAGTGAAATAGAAGATGAAGAACAAACTGTGATTTATGACTGGAGTCAATAGTTTCAACCCATACCAATTACTATAAATCTCACATACGCGTATTGTTTTTATAGTTAAGTAATACAACTTATTATGTAACGTAGGTAACAGTTTATAAAATGAATATTATCATGGGTTACGCAAAGTTGGCTTGTGCTAGTTAAAAAAATTACTAATATAAAGTCAACGATTAAAGAGTGAGTAATATTGACCAACGTGATCAACATACGCGTAATTGATGTGGCGCGTAAACAATCTTACGTCATATTTTTATGATTTTCCAATGAGAGACATAAAATCGCTTTTTTAACTTTTTAGTTTTCAAAAGTTTTTTTTCCTTTTAATATTTTTAATATTCACAAATATTATTTCTTTAATACAATATTTGCTTTTCTTTTTGAAATTTTTATTTCTTTTTTGGTTTTTAAACTGAAAATTTTATTTTTTTTATTTCTTTTTCAGTAATATTCATTACCTTCTTTTAATATTTATTATAAACTAATGTTTTTATTTAATAAATACATAAAAGACTTTTGTTCTTATTCCTTCTTGTGAAAAAAAGTTTTGGAAGATTTCTACTTAAACGTCAAATCAATGAAGATAAGTTTCTTGGAGTTTTTATTATTTTTGGTAAGTGGAAATGGCTAAGCTGGGATGTATAAGGGATTTGTGCACCTAGAGTGCTTCGGTTATCCTCCTCTTCTAGAAGTCTGGTTACCTTAATGAGAAAAATAATGGAAAAATAATAATAATATCTCAAGCTATGTCGCAGACTTCTGTATGTGGGGCCCTTCCCTTTGGTGGTGGGTCTCATGTCTTATTATCAATATGACAGTACCTCTGCACGAGTTTGATCACTCACGATATATCGTTAATGTCAGTTGATAGTAGGCATGGGGGCTTGAATCTGTCTTTTCTACAAAGCTTACTTAGAGTACTCGAGTCTTCTAACATATTTTTGCTATATATTTTATTTTTTAGATTACCTTAGGCAATAACTAACAAGAAAGTTTAGAAATTTTTAACAATTTTTATTATTGAAATATTGTGGTTATAATTTGTACACAAATATTTTCATTTTGTATACATAATTTATTACATCTCAAACACCAAATTTAGGATAAAAAATTCGTGCTTACTTATTAATGATTTCAGATTTTTTTGTTTAATAAAAGTTATAAAAGTGAATAAATGACTTTATTAAGAATAAGTAAATTTATAAAGAACTTTATATAAAATAATATTCTTATCAGATATTTTTAAATTACTATCAAACAATTAATTAATTTCCTTTATATAATCATACAAGTCAATCATTAAATCAGAATGTCTTTGCACTTCAATATTATATAACTTAAATTCATTCACTTCTTTCAATGAAATCAATTCCTTAGAAGAATCGTTAATAGCCAAATACTTAACCCTTTTCTTTTTCATGATATAATTTTTAATAAGGGGTAAAATATCTTGACCTAAACCGGTATTGATCGATAATTTTTTAATAAAAGTATCTTGAGAATTTTTTAGAAACACTTCAAAATCACTTGCTTTAATGAAATAAAGACGCAAATGCAAATATTCTAATTTAGAAGGAAGGATTTGTCCTAAATTTTGTAATATCATTGAACTCGGCGTACTTTCGATACTTTTTAATCCAATAAAATCAGGCCATACATCGATTGAAAGATAATTAAGATTTTGTTTAATATTTTCAATTAAATTGAAAATTTGATAAGTAAATTGAATTTCATGCATAGTAAAATAAAAAAAATTAATATTTTTACAATATTTTGTAATTAATTTAATTAATTCATTTGATTCTATCATTGATGAGAAATATGATGGACAAAGTCCGAAATTTTCTAAATAATCACCGGATTTTTGTAATAATAATTTTGATGATTCAAATCCAATTTGTGATTTCTCATCTATAAGTAAAGATTTCAACTTAAATGGTTTAGTTAAATTAATAATTTGTTGGTTAAAATTATTATTAAAAGAACAATAAAGGATATTAATAGATTCTAAAACATTTAAATGATTTAATCGTTCAAATATCTTGTTAGCCCACAAAAACTTATAATTAAAATTGACTTTGTAGAATATAATTATAGTTAATGTATTTGAACAATCAGATTTTTTTGATAATAATAATGAATGATATAAAAATAAATTATCACTTATTGAAATTTTTTTAAGATTTTGTTGTAAATTAATAATTTGTGATATATAATAATAATCAAGTGTATTACTAACATTAAAAAGGTTTATATTTCTAATATTGTGAATGAATTCTGTATTTTTCAAAATTAACTTAAGAATATTAACAAAACATTTGTGATAATAATCACTCAAATTCTCAATTTCAAGAACATGTAAATTTACTTTATTTTCAATGAAAATTTTAAAAATTGTTGCACATATATCAATCAATACTTTAAAATTAGATCTATTTTTAGGGTTTGAAGTAATAATAGCAGATTCAAGCCACTTATTAACAGATAAAATAAACTTGCGTATATTCAAATATTTTAAAAACTTGGGATAATTGAACAGTAAATTCGAAGGTACTGAATTATTAACAATATTATGTTCATTTAATTTTGTGTTAAAATCATCATTATTTAAATTATGTAAGTAAATTTCAATAAAATTATAGTTTCCGGTATTAATTGAAAATGGATTTTCCCATAATAATGGAATCGCTAAACGACACCATAATCTGTTAACTAAAAGGCATGAATGTAAAGTTGAATAATCATCGTTCTGAAAATATTTTATAACTTCATAAGTTAATTCAGCAGGTAAATCTCCTGAAAATATTTTTGAACATGTCATATTGTAAATTTAAAAGTAAAAGGGGAGAGGTATTAAATTTTTATTATTATACCGAACTGGGTAAATTATACCAATTTTCGGAGTTATGATTCCGATATTGTCGCACAATTCATGTGTAACATGTGTTCAATGTTTAGTGGTTTGTTTTTGATAGGGTTGCACTGCATTATGTCGTTGTAAGCCGTTGGGAATGTGTTACCTTTAGATTCCGTTTTCGATGGTTTCAATAAAGAGGGAATTTTTTTTTTTTTTAAAAAAAAGATGTACATCGGCGGACTCAAAATTGTTTTGTAATACCAAAATCATTTGATAGGTGATCACTTGATCATTTTGTTAACAAAAAGGCTATTTCTCACTCACAGTAATTTTTGATTTGTATTATTTGAAAGTGAATATGTTTTACTAATAATATAAAAATTAAATTTATGCAAATTTAATAGTCATAGGTATTTATAAAAAGTATTCAAGAGTCAATAAATATTATTCAGTTTTTTATTTGATTAGCTTAATGAAATTTATATATTTTTCATAGAATACTTAATTAACTTATATTTAATTAATTGTACAATATAGGAACTTTTTATGCTTAAAATTATTATTTACGAATATACTTCCAATTTCTACAAAAAAAATTTTGAAGGTATTGCAGAAGGAGAAATCTCATTACAGATATTAAATCAAAATTATCAAAAATCATGTTTATTGTATTTTATTTTAAAGCATGTATTATTAAATTATGATTTCATAAAAATAAGTAAATTTTTTTTAATGTTCGTCCCGAAAAAAAATGACCGACGAAATAAATCACGTGAACTTTCGGACATTTTTTCTGGTTACGCTACTTTGTAACAAAATAATTCATTAATATAAATTATTATAGGTTAATAAATAATGAAATCCCTCATATTAACCCTTTTAATGGTTATGCTTAATAATAAAGATTTAAGTTTGAACAAAAAAAAAAATATTATAAATATTCTGATGATAGTAGTCTTATCATTATCACCGGACTTACTGCGCCTTATATGTATTACTTTGCGTATTAAACAAAAAGTGAAAAAAAGAGAAGGAAACCGCTATCGCAGTAAGTTCGAAATGCCGTTTGAAAGATTTTATTGTTATGCATCGTCACGTGCTGGACGGATAGTCCTTCGGACTAATTACTGTTCCATGCAGTAATTATTGCTTAAATGCAAAATTTTTTAAAGTTCACACTTGACAGACACATTCGTAATTTACCTTTACGGTTCCACCCTTTTTATATTGACCTGTTAAAAATGAGTGGGAGGGAGATGGAACAATTTAAACAAACATGATATTTAAACATTAAAAATTTCGTAAGTTTTCGGTAAAATCGGAAATATTCGGTATCACCCAATTTCAGAAAGAGAGGGATGCATTAAACATATGTGAACATATGTGTTTATTAAAATTATTTTAAACTAAAATTAATTTGGAATGGCTTAATTTCGAAAAAAATCATCATTATTTACTAGAAACGGAAATCGTTATTAAGTCCGAAGTGTACATCGTGTTCATAGAAATATAGAAACTTCGGACTAATAATTACTAAAGATACATTTGTAGTGATACTGTCACCGGTTTTACCTTGAAATTTAAAATAAAAATTACTAAATATACAAATGATATAAATCGTCTAACTTACAAGAAAAATACCAAGTGCATTCTTTAATAGTTCCAAATAATCCTTATAAGAATATCTGAACGGATATTAATAACCTTACAAAAGGAGAAAATTGTTTCATGGAAAATCAGAAAAATTCTTGACTCCTTTTACTTGAGTACTTGTCTTAAGTTCTGGTTTACTATTAGTATTCATATCACTTTTATTAGTAATAAACTATAAAATTCACGTAATTAATAAGTACTTTTTCCTTACCACTAAAATTATTGAAATAAATCCTTATTATAAATATAAATTTAATAGATTTAGGCATAGGTTACACGCTAACTATTACAACAATTAAATCATAAAAACTTTGAGTCTCCGGTTCCTTTAATCGTCGACTTTAGTAAATTGCGAATCTATTAAATATTTTATCAATAAAAAATCAATTTAGGACTCCAATACTTTACATGTTAAAAGCAATATATAATCTATTGTAGCAAGTAGTTTGATTTTTTTTTTTTTAGTATCATACATTTTTCACTTTAACATTGAAGTGCAAAATATCAAATATATTGTATGGTAATGATATTTTGATATTTAATTAGAAGTGTAATTAACATTTTTTGACTGATGAGTAATTAAAATTTTTTATTATAAATTAGAGGTTGGAACTGGTTAATGTAACATTGTAACTAAAAATAATCGTGAAAAAAAATTATAAACATAATCTTGTAAAATGCCTTTATTAATTAAATTTTTTCTATTAAACTTTGTTTTCCATAACGAGAAATTTTTTTACAAAAAAAAAAAATTCAAATTACGTATTAATTATTATCAATATTTTTCAATATGTTAATATCATATAAAAAAAATTATAAAAAAATTGAAACTTTTTAACATTCTCCTAATATTTTTTTTTCTATCGGAAGAGATTTAAACTTTTTTGAATGTTTTTCCCATTTGAAGTTTAACTTTTTGAAATGTTTTTCTTATTTGAAGTTTTTTAAGGTTAATATTGTCGCTTGGCAATAACTGTTCAAAAATTATCAATACACGTGTATTTACTTACCTTATTCAGATTTTACTTGCCTTTGACATACCAGATTTATTCCGAGAATCCGATATTATAATGTCCCATATGATTCATTCATATCAAATGTGGTAAAGTTTCCAATAAAGTTTATTAATAAATAATAATAATAAATGAAGTGTATTTTAATTTTTAAATTATGAGAGAATGTCCAAAGTAATATAGTAAGTCAAATGATGGAAAATTTTATTAAACGTCATGGTATTATTTAAACGTAATAGTTTTACACTAGTTTAACTTTTAGTTTTATCCTGGAATTTTTTTTAGATCGAATAAAAATTATCATGAATGATTTTTTTTAATTACTCAGGAAAAGTATGAAGCATCGTACGGGTTTTGAATAACTATACATTAATATTATCCGAATATGGAACATACTTGGAACATAAAGAGCATCTAAATTTGGACTCAATGAATTTTTTTTTTTTTAAAAAAAAAGAAATACTCGGGGAAAAATATGAAGTATCGTATTTAATTTATCAGTTTTGTGCATGAACCGGATCGGTGGGTCGGCGGTCGGGTTCAAAAATTTACGGCAAATTTGCTATTTACATTAGAAATCGTGGTACTGAAGCCACGTACATTTTTTGTAAAAAATTTTACCATCTACGATTTAACTGTTATTAACCTGACAATACTAATCATTTCGAGTACCATATGAATAGCACTTTGTTCTGCAACCCGATTTTCTGATAATTGTTTTGTTAGTGTAGTCCAAAGATTATAGCTAGTCATCTTCCTCTGTCAAGAATCCATTTCGGTTAAAGATTGAAGCTCAGCAAATGTTGATATATTCGACCACATCCTCTTCGTCTAGATTATCTTTATTGAGAAGTCTTGAAAGCGGCATTTCTATATCTTAATCGTAGTTAATCAGCATAGCGGACATTCCTATTTTATCACAATACTGATGATTATTTGTTGATCATTTGCCGATCATTTATTCAATTATATCACATAATATAAATACCGTTGCTAAAAAAATTTACATAATAATATATGCTCAAATTACACAAATAATTTAAATTTGGTTTTAATTTATTGAATATTAAATTTCATTAGAAACTTTTTAGCTTTTATTATTATTTGGCATATATTTATTCATTTTAAGAAATTATTCACTAAATATATTACTAATAAAAAACCTGCATTATGAATCAGATCACTGCATTATTTTTTTTATAGATTCTACATAATATAAGGAATATTTGTGCAAAGTTTTGAGTTTCGCCCATGCATATTCATCTCAGCCCATCAAATTTTGTCTGATGATCGGTAAAAACTTATGAATTATCATATATGAATAATGTGTTATAAAAATATTAAAAAATTATGCTAACAATTATATAATTAAAATTATATGATGATTCAATGCTTAACTTAGATTTCCATAATTTTTTTGCCACATTATTTTGAAAAATTTGTGGCTTTTGCAATAAATTTTAAAATCCGGAATTATGTGATCGGCAAATGATCGGCAAGGTGATATAAGCATGTCCGCCATGCTTAGTTAATCAATAATGGACCAGGAGAACTTGATTTTTGATCGTCCCTGACATCATTAATAATCTTTTCTACTTCTTCAGGTTCGACCGAAGGATGTATTATTTCTTGCCTCATCTTATCTTTTTTCTCCAAGAGTCCGTCTGTGCCGATCTTGGACATTGTCCGATTCAACCGAACCAAACGATAAATTCCTTTGTTGTCGTTCGAAAAGGGCTTCTTTTCGTTGCGCCCTCTTACTTTTCCATTCCTCTCTTTCGTTACTTCTCCTTTACTTTTTTAAAAGTTCGAAATGACCAATTTCCCTTTTTGTTGTTGCCGAAGTTAGTGTATTTTCTAAATCCTGTTGCAACTTATAATAAGTCAAAATTTTCCAAGAACAAGGACGGACTTTAATCACTTTCGAGGAAATCTTAGGGTAAGCTGCTGTAAGAGCTTTCAAGTATTTTGACTCATTCTCTACAATCTTTTTCATATCTACTTCTGATACATCCTTCCACATTTGCCATCTATCTCTATAACTACGTTCTTTTATCATCAATTTCCCATCGTACCATCTTATAAATTTTTCCGTCTACTATTATTCCAAAGTATCCGTTCAAAAATGATTAATCGAAACGGTCTTGGAGTTCAACTTTAATTTTTACCATTTGATATTTATAATCGTTATTAAATATACTTTGTCACTGATCTTCTTATCCACTTGGATTTCCGTCCATCTTTTTGGAATGTCATACAAAAAGATATCTCGAACATGATCTGTTTTTACGTCATCATCCAGTGGCAAAATTGAAAGAACAACTGGGAGAATTATCCTTTTTTCTTTCATTTCTTTGTCTTGATTTTTTTGTACGTCTGGATGATGTTAACTTTGTTCGACACAAGCTCCTTGATAATTCGTTCTTTTTTCCTTCACTTCCATTTCCCTTTTTTAACCTCATCAACATGTTTCTTATCTGAGTGCTGCGCCTGCCGCAGCCACCCTCATAACAAAACATTATTTTCCCAAGCCGGATCGTATCTTTTTCATAATGTTCGTACGCTATACTACCGCAAACCATTATTATCACCTCGGTTATCTCTGCTCTTGTGTCCGTTATATACTCTATTTCGTTAAAAGTACTTGCGTTTGTAATAGTATTGTCGAAGTTACAGCTGATAATATCATAGGACTCTTTTACGACCTATGTTTTAAAATTTTTTTTTTCAGTTCGTAACTTATCCCGTTATATTTGCGATACCAAACACGGGATCACCGGAATCACGTGAATATTATACGACTTGACGCAGCAATTTAGTTATTTATTTTACAAATCAAACTATCAAATCAGGAAAAAATACCGGATCGGCGGATCGGGTTCAAAAATTTAGTTTGTCCCAGGTCTTATGAAAACAGCTGTAAAAGTTTCAACCGGATGACGGATTTAAAGTATAACCAATTTCTTCTTATTCATAAAGATTAATCATAATATTTCCGATATTTTATGTAAATGAATAAATAAATAAATCTTGAAGGAGTAACATTAATTTCATTTTATTTATATTATTTTTCTTTTTATTATAAGCTAGTACTGAAAGTTCAAACGAGGCGTATTAATTGATCGAATAAGCTTTTTGTATTATATTATTATAAATTATTATTTGATAAAAATTTATACTTAGTTCATTCTTGTATTACCAGAAGTTACTGTATGTTAAAGTAATCATTTCGGATATCTCGGATATTCCCGGATAATGCACATATTCGGTTATTATCAGATAAAACTATTCTTTATCCATAAACTCAAATCAGATATCTGGATTCAGACTCCAGATTTTTGTTATTAAACCGGGTGATCAGACAATTTTTTAGTTCTAAATGTCGGGAAACTGTCCGTAAGCGAATGAAAAACAATCTAATTCTATATGAATGTTTGAATGCCCGTTCAACACGTGATATGTACAATTCGGATTTAATAGTGGCTTCGTTTCCTAGTTGTATTACAAATAATTTCGAGTAACATACTGTACCTTTCAAAAATACAAATCCGCTTGCTTGATATGGTTATATGAATTATAATTTAGCCATATTTGCATCATCATTGCACTTTGTTAATTTTTCCTGTGTGGCAGTCCCATGAATTTCCGAATTTCCACGATGATAATGATCCTTTGATTGCAAAATAGTTAAGTCATAAATTTTGCTTTATATACATTTGTATATTAGATATGTTATGTTTAAAGTCTTCTTTTAAAAATTTTTTTATTTCATATTTAAGATTTTAAAAATGAATAAGAAATTTAACAATCATCTTCAAATACGGATATTTACTATGAAGGCACATTCACAATTATCTAATTTATTTACATTAATTTACTTCGTAATTTATTAATGTGTTTTTATTTATTTATTATTGAAGATCCAACAATCAATAAATTGGTTCTTTAGAAAATCTCTGAATTCAATTTGAATTTCAAACGGAAAGTTGTTATTCTTCATCACTAAATTATTAGGTAGTCCGGTGACTATCCCGGTCAAAATCGTAAATTTTACGTTAAGATTTTTACGTAAAATTAACGAAAAATGTGTCCAATTTACGTAAAATTAACGAAAAATGTGTCCAATAACTGTTAATGGACTATTAACTTATTAATCAGTATAATTATCATGATTTCGGACAGTAACCAGACAATACTGTCTTATAACCGAAATTTTAAAGGGGTCGTCATTTTTATTAGTATTAGCTTAATGGTTTCAACTTAAATAAGTCAAAAACATATATATTATAAATTAAAAGTTTAAATAGTCTAAGGTCCTAGGTTCGATTCCTAAGGTAAGTATAAGTTTATATATATTAAATATTATTAAAATATTTAATATTAAATTAACTATTTAATATTAAATAATTTTTTCAACAGATCGAACGTCCATATACCTGAAATTGACGGTTTATGGACGTACATAATATAACGTCCAACCTACGGAGGGTCCGTCAATGGACAGTTAGTGGACATATGTCCAATAATGGTTGCCGATCTGCCTGGAAATTTAGTGATGGCCTTTAACGATTATTAGAGTATTATATTAGCGGCTGTTGTCTTGACTGTAGTAAATTTTTATTTAATTTATTCTAGCTGTATAGATTGCTTGAACTAATATTAAATATCAACAGAAGAAATTTTAGAAAGGTTTATAAAACTTAAGTAAATTAATGCCATGTTTTCCAATTAGTTCAATTCCAATTGTCCAAACATTTTTTATCTGTTGCTGACCAAATTTGTTATTATATATTATTACTTTTTTATATATAAATGTAACAATATTTCAAGATAATGATTACTAATTTAGTACTAATCAAAATTTATGATTGCAAAAATAAATAAATAAAAAGTATTGAATATTTGAGTTCATATAATAGTTACTATTTTATACTTTATTAAATATTACATTGTATTTATAGACGAATATATGTTAAGAAAAAAATTACAAACATAGCAAGCTTAAATCCTATAAGTGGCAATTAAATCATTTGACTAGAATAATAAATTCAATGCTATTAAATGAGTAACTGTAATAAAATCATTAACTTATATAGTTCAATTGATCTAATTTTAATACTAATATATAGAATGATAAACAAACACAAATACAGAACAATATAAATCTACTGTAAAAAATTAATTATTTTTTCTGGACTAAAAGAACATCTAAATTTACCTGAGCATCTGAACATCCATTTTCTAAAGCTTTCCTATACCAATAAATAGCATTTTCTACATTTTTATCAGTTCCTTCACCTTGCTCATATAAATATGCAAGACTTTTTTGTGCATTAACATCTCCCTCTAATGCAGCTATTTTGTATGTATTAAATGCCATTTCTTTATTAATATCTGTACCAATTCCATTTTCGTAAAAGTATCCAAGCTTATATTGAGCTTCAATAAATCCTTGATTCGCTGATTTTTTATAAAATTCGAATGCCCTAACCTTGTTTTCACAGATACCCTTGCCTAACTCATAAAAATTACCTAACTTGAATAATGCAAACTCATTGTCATTTTCTGTAGCTTTATGGTACCAATAGTTAACTTTGTCCAAATCGTTCACTAATTCCTCATCGTTTTCAATAGTATCAACTTGGATATTACTGCCAGCTGCTTCATTATATAGTTCGAATCCTTTCTCTTTATCAATTTCAGTTCCAATACCATTTACATGGTAATATCCAAGTTGAAATTTTGCACTTATATGTCCATTTTCAGCTGATTTCTTATTATATTCAAATGCTTTAATTAGATCTTTATTCACACCATTTCCTAATTCATAACATTCACCCACGTTATATAATCCTGTTTTATTTCCACTTTCTGCCGCTTTATTATACCAATAAAAAGCTTTCTCTAAACACTTTTCAGTTCCTTTACCATATTGATATAAACTTCCAAGACGATTTTGTGCAAAACCATTTCCCTTTTCAGCTGCTAATTTATATAATTCAAATGCTTTTGTTTTATCAACTTCAGTACCAACTCCTTTTTTATAACAATTTCCAAGTCGAAGCTGAGCATTTAAATATCCCTGATCAGCTGATTCTTTATAATATTCAAATGCTTTGGCTTCATTTTTTTCGACACCTCTTCCATTTTTATAACAATTGCCTAAATTATATTGTGCTGTCTTATTTCCATTTCTTGCTGCCTTATTATACCAATCAAAAGCTTTTTCCAAATTCTTTTCAGTTCCTTTACCATATTCATAACAGTATCCAAGTTGTAGCAGAGCATTTAAATATTCTTGATCAGCTGATTCTTTATAATATTCAAATGCTTTAGCTTCATTTTTTTCAACGCCTCTTCCATTTTTATAACAATTGCCTAAATTATATTGTGCTATCTTATTTCCATCTTTTGCTGCTTTATTATACCAATAAAAAGCTCTTTTCAAATTCTTTTCAGTTCCTTGACCAAATTCATAACAGTATCCAAGTTGAAGCAGAGCATCTAAATATTCTTGATCAGCTGATTTTTGATAATATTCAAATGCTTTGGCTTCATTTTTTTCAACACCTCTTCCATTTTCATAAAAAACGCCTAAATTATATTGTGCTAATTTATTTCCATTTTCTGCTGCTTTATTATACCAGTAAAAAGCGATTTTTAAATTCATTTCTGTTCCTTCCCCATATTCATATAAGAGTCCTAAACTATTCTGTGCAAAACTACTTCCTTCTTCAGCTGCCATTTTATATAATTCAAATGCTTTTGTTTTATTTACTTCAGTTCCAACTCCTTTATTGTAACAATTTCCAAGTACGTATTTTAAGTGTATATTTATATTCTTAGCAAATATTTTTGAATATTCAAATTCCCTTTGCTTATTAATTTTAATTTCTTTTTTACCGGATACAAAATATTTAGTATCTTTAGCCAGTTCATTAAATAATTCAAATGCCTTTTTTTCATCTTTATCTACCCCTTTTCCATATACGTAATATTCTCCTAATAAATATTGTGCATCATTATATCCTTTTTCAGCTATTATCTTTGCTAATTCAAATGCTTTTATACTATCTATTCCAGTTCCAAATCCATAACCATAACAATAGATAAGTTGAGATTGTGCATTTATATATCCTTGTTCAGCAGATTTCTTATATAATTCAAAAGACTTTCTTAAATCTTTTCTTACACCATCTCCTAATTGATAGCATCCACCTAAATTAAACTGTGCAAATTTACATCCATTTTCTGCTGCTTTTTGAAAATAATGGAATGATTTTTCATAATTTGTTTTTAATAATAATTTTCCAACACAATAAAATCCAAGTTGACTCAAACTTTTATGAAATAATATTTTATAAAATTTAATTTTTTTAGATTTGTCTATTTCAACCCTCACTTTTACCTTATAATATTTTTTAAGAATATTTTTTGCTATAATATTTCCATTATTTGTCGCTTTTTCATACCAACATTTGGCTTGTATCTTATCTATTTTTGTTCCAATTCCATAATAAAAACAATTGCCAACTTGTAATTGAGCATCAGCATTTTCTTGTTTAGCTAAGCTTTTATAATATTTAAATGCTATAACTTCATCTTTTTCAACTCCTTTTCCTAATCTATAACAATGTGCAAGATAAAGCTTTGCGGTATTATTTCCATTTTTAGCTGCTGTATCATACCAACAAAATGATTTATTTTCATTTTCTACAATTGCAATACCAAATTCATAAAAATTTCCTAAATAAAATTGCCCAACAACACTCCCATTTTCAGCAGATTTTTGATACCAATAAAATGCCAAGCTTAAATTAAATTTAGTCCCATATCCATCATAATAACATTTAGCAAGATATACTTGAGCAATTGGATAATTATCATCTGCTGCTTTTGAAAACAATTCAAATGCTTTAACGACATTTTCTTCTACACCAATATTATAATAATAAAATAATCCAAGAAACCAAATATGTTGCGTTTTATCTTGATTTTTTAATAACCATTTTATAAGTTTATCTGTAGCTTGATTTATCTGCAATATATGTTCACTTATTAATTGTTGAGCTTGATCAAACGTAGCACCTTTATCATGTTTCTCAATAACATATGCAATTATCTTATCTAAATTAAGAAATTCAATAAAATCGTATGATGTTTTTGTTACTTGATTTACTTGTTCTGATGTACTTGCATTTGATGGACTTTCACTCGGAGTCATTCTATTTTCATATTTCATTATATTGTTTGATTCACCTTTTGATATTATTTCATTAGTTGAACCTCTGATTTCCTTGTTTGAATCGGATGATATATTTAGTCCATCATTTGGTATTATTTGCATTTCATTATTCAAATCTATAGTTTTTTTGCTTAATTCCGGATCTATTTCAACTTCCGTTGAATGGGTTTCTTTTTTTCGATCAATGTGGTCAATTATCGCATCTATTTCAATAAGAGAGTTTATTGATTTAAGAGTTGAAGTAATTTCCTGTATATTTGGACGTTTATTCGGTTCATCTCTCCAACATTCTAAGCAATTTAAAAAAAAAAAATTAAATGCTATATATAAAAATACAATATAAAAATTTGATTGATTATTTACCTGTATATAAGTTACTATATTTAACAGGAGTTCCGTCAATAATTTTTTCTCTTCTACCATTTAATATTGATAACATTAATCTTGGACCATAATCATCTTCATGGAAAGGTATATGTCCACTTGAAATTTGCCATAATAAAACTCCAACACTATATACATCAGATTTTTTATTTAATTTATATTTTTCTTTATCATCAAAACTTTTTGGGTCCACATAAGGTATTACGCCAAGTACTGAAGTATTACTTGATGCTTCAGAAATTTTTTTTGATAAACCAAAGTCTGCTAATTTAATATTTTTCTGATGTATAAGTATATTCTTTCCATGCTTTATTACATAAAAAAAACGAATTAAAATCTATCACAGTAAACAAATTAAAATTAAATAAAAAATGAATATATATTACCAAATCACGATGAATAATATTTCCCCTATGTAAGAAATCTATAGCGCTAGCCAGCTGAGACGCTAATTTATATTTGTCCGTCCAATCAAGTTCATTAAAATGCTCTTTTAAATACGTAGTTAATGTACCGCTATCTGCATACTCCAGTACAAAAGAATATTTTTGGATCGTGTCTAAATAAAAAGCAACTTTAATAAATAAAACATTTTATTACGTAATATATAATAGTTATTCAATGTTTACCGAATTCTTCGTTTGTGATTCCATATAACCGTATTATATTTTCATGATAATCAACACTTCGGTGTAATTTTAACTAAAAGTATGATTTTGATTTTTTTCATTTAACTTTTCAGATAATAACTAGTATAAAATATATAAAATAATATACATACCTCTTTTAAAATTTTTCTAATAGTTTGTTTATTGTTACTATCAACAAAAGATTTCAAAGCGAAAACACGATTGTAGACTTCACAATTAACACTATAAACATTTCCGTATGAACCTCTTCCTATTGGATGAATATTTTTGAAGTTTGAATATTCATATAATTTGATATTCTCATCGTCAATTGAACTCTCCAACCAGTTAAGATAATAATTTAAATCTTTTATTTCGGCATTTTTTGACATTTTTTTTTTTTTTTTTTTGATTGTAACAAATAATATTCATATGATCGTCAAATGTACAACAGTAACCGAGTAACGCCACCAAATTTTTTACCACGTGACCTAATAATATTCATCACCGGCATCACAATTCACCGCGTCTTCACTGTTTATATTTATCTGAGGGACTTGGTTTTTTTTGTCTCCCAAAATTATGTTTTTCACTTCCCCTTAAATGTCACCGGTCACGTGGGGTGAAATTTTAAATTATAAAATTGGTGTTACTACTACGGTAATTATGCACAACAGTATTTGTATTACTTAAGCACTTGCCTGCTTGACATAAAAATAAATAAATAAATATGTAAATATGTACAACAGTACTACATTTCATGTAGCTTTCTAAATTAAGCGTCATTGTCAATATTTAGTGAAGCGAAATAAATCACTAACGTTTTTATTTTTTAAATAATGATTATGATTACTTTAATTATCTTTTTTTTTTTACATGTACAGTAATTCAGTTTGCAAAATTTTCTTATTTTTTGAAAACTTATTTTAGATATTTATAATTTTTTTATAGATTAATAATAAAACTGAATGATTCATTGATTCATGTAACAGACCCATTTACAGTGGATATTTATCCGAATCCTGAACCTATAGTTCATTCTAAAATTAGTGAATTTTATCAATCTGACTTTTTGCAAATTTCTTAATAATTTATTTATAAATGTACTATACATTTTATAATATACAAATTATAATAAATTATTGTTTTCCATTGTAAAAAAAGCATTAAATTTTATTGTAGTGGTTAAAACGTTTAGTAACCAATAATTGTCACTGGAATAAATATTCCACGTAAATAATTGTTTGTTATTTATTGTTAAATGATAAATATGAAAAACAGTACAAGTGCCTCCCGTCGGTTATAACGACACTCTTCGGACCATTAGCAATTTTTTTCTAATTGTAGTTAATATAACGACATCAAAGGAATCCAAAAAAAAAAAAAATAGTGTGTCGATCGTTATACAATAATATGTCATTATGTCCTTAGAAAGAATATTTTACTTAAATACCATCTCGCTAAATACCACTTTTCCCGAAAGACTTTTTATTTCACCGAAATCTATTTTTGAAAAAATCAAAAATTTAGGATTATCTATACATTTTGTTCAATCACTTTCATCAGTCTCACGTATCTGAAATAAGATTCTTGCAAAAAAAGGGGCAATTAGGAACATGTCATGTACAGTGACCCTTGTGACTTGTGTGTAGTGTATGGCTAGGTACATATGGTTGCACTGAGTATACTGTACGTACATACATTGGCAAATAAATATTATTAATTAAATCATCAAAACGTACAGTACGTAAATGATAAGGCGCAGCCGCAGTAACTGTCCTACACTTCGACCATCACATCCCACCAGATTTTGCGCTGTTTATATTTTTTTTTTGAGTATGCAAATTCTTATTTGTCACCCCTTGTTCGCTTTCACGTGTTCGTGAATAATGCCGTAACGCCGGCCCTGTGATACAGTGCGACTGGTCGTAAACATATGCTGCACCACTGGATACATTTATACATATGGTTAGTATACATACGTACAAAAAATATGTTTGTCATGTCGTACAATCACAAAATCTGCACATCACTATACACTACATACATAGGTGTCTATACACTATACAAAACATCTTTTTATATAATCAAAAAATGATAGATTAAATGTGTAATAATTTAAGCGTTGAACAATACAAATTTAAAAAGAATACTAAATACTTATAAATTTCGCAATCACGATACGTGATAAAGTATCTCGATGATCGATGATGATCTCTACTAGCTATAATGAAAAAGATGATATTAGGTCAAAAAACATAAATATTAAACACAAACAATATCGTGAAAGCTCGATAGTTGGCGTAATAACTTTTGTAATTTAAAAATTTCTGTTCTAATTGGAGTAGATACTATTTAAAACATAATATAATAAAACTCAATATTCTCGATAATTACATCGATTGGTATTATAAAACACGTGATAAAAGATTTCATTTCTATAGTATTGTACCATCAAATTTCAAAAAAAATTGATCCAATGAAGTAAAATTGTTTATAATACGTATTTAATTTCGCAGAGTATGTACAAATAAACTTGATTTATTAAATAAAAACCAAAAATTTTTATTAGTTGGAAATAAAATATAGATCATGTACGTTAATTCTTGCATGTACTACCACTCAGTTCACCATCTTATATATAATTATTTATATGATATTCCAGCGCGGTATAGTGAAAGTGAAGTTATTTCAGCCATCAAAAATTTAGGAAATGTACATAGAATAAGGATAAAAAAGCATTACAAATACCAATCGGTAAGGGCTGAAATTTCCCTGTTCGATGAAAATGAAGATGATTTTGTAAAAGAGACTTGGAAGGTACAACTCTTAATTGGAAGAAGTGAGAAAACACAAAATACGATGCAAGTTCGCTGGTTCCCAGGACAAAGTACAGTTAAATCTATAAAAGAAAAATGTAAGTGGAAGGCGTACAAAATAATTCGTTCGAGTTATTATCAAGACGTGGCTAGAAAAAATTACTCTTTTGAGTATGGCAAAATGGCGCGTTTTGGGAAAAATTTGGTATTCCTTGCATACTTTAAAAATAAAGAACAGTTGGATGCAGCTAGGGCTTTGGACAAAGGTGCAGATGACACTTGGATTATTCATGGTAAGGGTTTGGGCAATCTATCAGAAGAAGTCTCAAAGAGGGACTCATGTTATGATTTGGTCAGCACTACGCCGAAGGATAATGGAAAAGGGAAATTTGCAATTAAAGAAAAACAAGCGTGGTCACACCAGCAATTATAGACAATGTAAGTACAGAAGAGGTGGTTGACGTCTTAAATAAATATAGGTAAAATTTATTGGATGAAGTGCCACAAAATAATGCGTCAACTTCAATAAAAAATTATGCCTCACCAGAGAAAGTGGTAGATGTGGTTTTGGATTGAGAGCTGAAATAAATAAAGAGTTGTCCCAAGACGAAAAAGAAGACGCGAGTTGGATAGAAAAATGTAGAAATGGATATGCCGCGCTAGTAACGGAATTAAAAGAAGGAAAAAAGAAGATAGATAAAGAAAGAGCAAAACGAGACGCCTTACAAAAAAAAGTGGATGAGAGACAGATACTTTTGGATGAAATTAAAATTAAAAAAGAGCCAGAAGTGGAAACCAACAAAAGTACAAAACAGGTGTCGCCGATAGAATTGCACGAGTATGAGTCGATAAATGAATCATGTAGTAGTAGGCTGGTTAATAAGACTCATACTAAGGAAGAGTTAGCTGAGTGGGCGAAGTTTTACAAAAATCAGTACCAGGAAATAATAAAAGACGCGCAACGAAAACGCTCATTGGCGAAACAAGGTGATCGGGTAAAGGAGGAAGAAGGTATAGATAGTGATAGTGATGAAGATAAAGAAGGAGAAGTGGTGGTAAGTACGGAATCAAGCAACAAAAGAGGAGGGAAACCCGGTAGTCGAGGAAAAGGTAGAGGAGGTAGACGTAGATTAGTTTAAAAAAAGTAGTTTCTTTTATATAGACATTTCATAGTGTAAATAGTGTAAATAGACAATATGGATAAATAGTTTTTCGTAGTTGTGTAGTATTTAGAGGTGGTCGTGTGTTGACCGAGCGGTAGGCCGAAGCGCCCGGTATGGAGAGGGTGTCAGTGCTTGACATTGGCAACTTCAATGTGATTCTTTTTTAAATTAATTTTGTGAATGGTGCGCTTTTTACGATTTTAATTAAGAAGTTTCGCGTTTACGCGAGTGAAAAAAAATATATATATATATATATATATAATTATTTATGAAACTATGATTCAAAAAAATCACGAGCACCAGATTATTCCTTTTTTAAAAAAAACATTTAAAATCTAAACTGTAAACATGCGGAAATTTCCCTACGATTTTACCATAAATTCGGTCTTATCTTTTTTCATAATAAACAAGTTGATGTCATACTAAACTCGGCTGAAAGCTCTAAAACATGATGTTAAAAGTATAAATATTTGTATAATTTTCGTGAAAAATAAAATTTGCTAATTAACGAGTAATAAAACGTTATTGCTAATTCATGGCTAAGATTACGAATTTTTATCGACAACGGTTACTGAAATTGTCATATGACTTGATTTTTACTTAACTTATTAAATCATTATTTTCCAGGTATGTAATACGAATGACCAAAAATTTCTATAAAGTGTCACCTGTTAATCGTTAGTTTTTTTTGCCTAGCAATAGCGAAAGAAATTAATTTTTCTCAGGTCTACGAACGTCTTAAAATAAAAATTATTTTTCAACATTAACCTAAATATGAAAATATTTCGAAATAATTTTAAAGTACAGTAAATTAATTATTACAAAACTATTTTATATGCCAATTTTCATATCTTCCGTTAATAATAATTCAAACGATGTTAACGTGTTAAAATGCAACACCAAATTTACATTAGATTTCTTTTTTACCTTTGTTTTAAAACAATTATAAATAATCATGGTTTAACTTGTAGTAGTATATAATTACTTTATACACAAATACACATAAAAAAAAATAATTAAAATATATTTTTTTAAAAGAATAATTTTATTTTACTTTGTCTATAAATTGTGAACAACAAAATTTTTTTTTAAAAAAAAAATGATCGTGAAAATGTTATTTAAATGAAATATTATTAGTTCTTGTAGTGTCTCTAAAAAAAAAACTATATATTAAATGTTCGAAAGTGACATTATCTATCTAATTATTTACTTGAAACTAAATGAAATTGTTCAATAAATCATATCCTCCTTGATTATGGACGAGTATCCTCTTATGCTTTTTTACTTATATCCATATCGTATCTTTTATTGTCATATAGTTTAATTCCCTTCGTTTCCATATCTTTACGAAGTTTTTCATATGTTTTCGAAAAATATTGAGTATACATATATGACCTAACACCAAATGGAAGCAACCAATCACCATCCCTATAAAGAAGATCTTTTCTTAAAAATTTTTGACTAGAATCTAATTCTAATGGAATAGTTCTATCTTTAACCAATATGGCTGGAAAAATAGAACTGATATGATCAAATATATAATTCATAAGGTTCCAAGAAGGTCCAATATCAGGAGAGAAACGATTACGATAAGTCTCGATATCATCATGCATTAATAAACCGCCAACTTCTACGATATTTTCTATCATCCACAAAAGAGTTGCATTAGTTATTCTTTCATTGCCTTTAAATGATAAAAAAGCTCCACCACCTATTTCACTATGTACACCCGGAAACCAAGTTTCTTTTACGATAGTACCAGATTTGTTCGGAAGTATACGACAAGGTCCAAAGAAAGCATTGTTTTCATGAGTAGCTAAAGCTTGACAAGCATTTTTAACTATACTAGGTACAGTTTGATCATAGAATTCCAAATATCTAAAACCATCACCAATTACATAACCGGGTAAACCATGAGCGCCAACAGTATCCCATAATCCAAGGAATTTTATAATTGGTTTTTTAGAATCAGGATAACTGAAAGATTTTTTAAATTCTTCAGAAGCTTTTGCTTTCGGGTGCTTAGCTAAATCTCTATCACGATAAAAACCATAAGCGAGATCAACACTTTTGTCAATTTGATCAGGGTTGATTTCTCGATTTAATATTCCACAATTTCTTAACATTCCAGCAATACATCTCGCAGTATAAGCGCCACGACTAAAACCAAAAAGCCATATATCATCATCAGGATGATAATGATCAACTATAAATCTGTAACCTTCTTTGATTTTATTATCAAGACTTAGAGCCATAGCTCCATCAACGATAAAATTCCAGGCCAATTCACCAATTCCAATTCCGTCTATATACAAAACATGTTGTTCATAATCTCTCTCAATTAATTCTTTATATAATGTAAAAACGTTTGTTTGGGAATTTGGATTATTCCATGTTCCATCACACATTACGACAATATTTCTACCCATTTTTACAAAATTTTCTTGTTTTTATTAAAGATTTGTGGTTTTTTTTTATATAGAAGAAATAACACTGAAAAGAAATATGAATGGTTTTTATTAAAGATTTGTGGTTTTTTTTTTTATAGAAGAAATAACACTGAAAAGAAATATGAATGTTTTTCTTGAAGGTTTGTGTTTTTTTTTTTTATTTAGTAAAAATAATACTGAAAAGAAATATGAATGAAATTTAAAACGAAGAAATTGGGGTAATATTTATAACATTTGAAAAAATAACAAAACTTATGATTTTACGAAAATACTTATGATGATCACCCAAATGACGACAGACGGAATTCAAATTCCAGTAAAATAAATTCCCTGATTTGTTTCAAATAACGTTTTTTCATTCAAAACTATAATTAGAAAACGGCAAATTTTAATTTAATTGTCTTTTCTGAAAAAGTTTAAGTCTATTTGAGTTAAAAATAACTTTAAAGTTGAAACAACAAGATTAAAAGGATGATCACTAACAAAAATCAGATTATTGATTGAGAATGATTATCCTTTATCAGTTTAGTCAATTTTTTATCGGCTTAGTTGAATTCATTGGCAAAAAAAAAACAAATCTATCTTTTTTCTGATTGGTTACAATTGTTTATTTTTATTTATAAATTTTTTCTTAATCCGTTTTTAACCATAATTTTTTTTTTTGGCGTTATAATATAATTTCAATCGAAAAATCGGTAACTCGTGCGACATAAATAAATCAAACAATTCAAATGAAAATATGATTATCATATGACATCGTTTATTTATATCAAAAAACAATATGAAAATATTGTGATATCAAAACACCTTCGAACGATTTGAGGCTTATCATTCAAAATATCAAAACCATTTTCTCTCGCCATTACTATATTAAAAGGATTATTCTATTATTCATATTTCAGATGCTGAAATTGTTTAATTTTAGACAATACAGTTGCGATGTAGTTGCTTATGTAACAAATGAATTTTATTAAAATTATGATTTTTTTTCAATTATCCGAAATTGAGAGATTTTTATTGCATCAATAACTTTGTCTTTATAGTGAGTTCGAACCAACTTGGTTAATTTTCCATATTAGTATTTTTGAAAAAGTTCTTATCTGTTGCAGAAATCCATTGCAATCGTCACATCATCATTAAGTGGTCAGTTTGATTAGAATTTATATCTGAAATTTTTTAGGATAATCATGATCCATTTGTAAATAATTCGATAGATTTTTTTTGCCGATGATCAAAAAATGATCAATGCATTTGATTTAGATCATTGACAATCATATCTGAAATGAAAATTGTGAAAACGTAAAAAACATTTTTTTTTCGTTGAAAAAAAAAAAAAAATCAAGAAAAAATTTATAAAAATAAAATAGGAAATGGCTTTCCTTTTTTGATTTATCTCAGGCACTTTTTTTCGCTAAAAAAATAATAAAAATAAAAAAGGGAAATGGCTTTTCATTTTTGATTTAAGTTTTTATTTTATTTATTTTTATTTTATCTCTATATCCAAACTTTTTATCGAAAAATTCATAAAATTTAAAAAAGGAAAATGACTTTCATTTTTGATTTACTTCATAAAATAATTTGACTTTTTTAATTAAAAAAAAAAAAAAAATAGAATCAAAATGAAAAAAAATGATGTATTCGAATTTGCAGATCACTATTTACAATTGATTTTTCATTTTTTTCATTCTTAAAAAAGTCATTAATCTTAAAAAGGAAATCATTTTCTTATTTTTAATCTAGTAAAAAAAAGTTTTGAATTGATGAAAAAAAAAAAGATTGTGATAAAAATATTTGACTAATCTAAAAAAGAAAGACAGATATCGAAAGTCAATGTAATCTTGATTTGATCGTTAAAAATAAAGAAAAATTTCATGCTACTATGAGCATATTCTGTATAATAGAAACCCAAATTTAATGATTACAAATCTGGAACAGAAGTTTTTAGAATGGGACCACAGTCTTATGAAAAATTTAAATGGAAAGCGTCTTATAATACACGCAAAGGGTCCCCATTCAAAACAATGTTAATCCCTTACATTGTACAGTACAATATGTTTGAAAATTTACATTCATCTCTCTCTCGTTAATCCCCCTCCCTCTCTTTCATCCATTATTCTTTCATTTTCATTTCATGGCGTTTCTTCTTCTAATTTCTTTAAATACTTTTCAGTCTGAAAAAAGAAGAAAGAATAAAAGAAAAGTGGCTCTTCGGCTCTTTGATACTGTTTTTTGGTAAGTGTTGTAATGTTTTTTAACTTATTTATTCCATCTTTTAAAAAATAGCTACTGATTATTAGTATTTTTTTTTTAGATGATTTGTTCTTCTGATTTTTAGACATGTGGGAAATTCAATAAGAAGGAGTTCTAACAAAACAATTACGCGTGAGTATTCAGTGACTTAGACGCGTGGGAAGTTGGTGTTCTTTGAAATAAGTAATTCTTTTTTTGATTTTTTGGATACTTGGATATGTGAAAAATTCAGCGAGGGTTTTTTCTTACTCTTTTATGAAACGTTTTTAATCTTCCTTTTTTTAGACAGTCCAGAACGCAAAATTTGCAACTCTGTATTTTTCTTTAGTTTAGAGTTGGATTTTGGTAAGAACCCAGGATTTTTCTAATATATTTCTTTTAATGAAATGCTTACTAACATTTCATTCTTTTCATTCTTTTTAGACGGTTAGTACTTATGGGTTTTTGGACGTGCGAGAATTAGGTAGAGGTGGCCGAAGCTTTATTTCAATTTATTTTAACAAAACGTTCACTAATAACCTTCTTTTCTTTTAGAAGGTCCAATTTCATTTTTTTTTATTTTGTAGGATTCTGGTTCTGATCTGAATACTGACAGAATCCTAGATAAGTTTTTGAAACAATTTTTGAAATCTATTTATTTTTTTAATCCATTGAAAATTCGCACTCTTACGCCGGTGCAGTGAACTTCTTTCGTCTCAACAGGACGCTGTACGATGATATGTATGTGCTCGTCGGCTGGCTGGGAGGTAAAATGTTTGCTAATCTTCGAAAGTGGAAGCAGTTCCACGCCACCAAGCTCGTCCTTGTCTTTATTTTTTTTAATTCATAGGAACCCGCCCAGTTCACGACTTGGATGGTAATTTTTTGTAGGTATAATACGATTTTTGCAGAGAACACACGTATTTATTGTTTTTTATTGTGAATTTACTATATGTTCAATGTAAAGAATACATAAATTTACTTTAAATATATTAAATGGTACTTTAAAACTTTTATAAAACATTTGTACAGCCACTTTAAATCATTTAAATTGCTACTTTAAATTATCAATAAATTTTCTATATTAAATACATATCGCTGCGTTGAATTTAACATACGCCTACTGTATTAAATGGCGGTATATGTGTAAATTATTTCTTGGGTAAAAAAAAAAATGTAAATTTTTTTTTATGTTTTCGTAGTATTCAATTTGCGAGTAAAAAACGCGTTATTATTATAATGTTATGACTTTATGACAAAATTATAAAATTTAAAATTTCAAAGTTAAAATAAAATAGTTTATTAGGACGTCGCCTGGGCGATCGTCGCCTGGGTTTATGTCACATGATGTACAATATATATCTGATATAGCTAATATAATTTTATCGCAAAAGATATTTAAAAAAAAATTTTTTTTGCAAACATATTTATTCAAAATAATCTTATTTAATGAAATTTTATTTGCAAATATTAAAATTTAAGTCGCACATTTACGATTTTAAAGAAAAAAATTACTGTATTTATTTTTAATGAAGTGATACAAATAAAAGAAACAATAATAATAAATAAATAAGATAAGTAAATTACAAGAAAGATGCTAATAAAAAAATGAAATCACAATGGGTAATGGAAAGTAATAGAAGTAAAAAAGAGTAATGAGAAGTAACAGGAAACAAAAAAGGGAAATAGGATATGATGGGAGATGAAGAGACGAAAAGGAGTGATAAACAGGAGAGAAAAGAGATAATGGAAAATGAAAAGATGTAATAGAAAATAATGGGAGACGAAAAGGATGGAATAATGAGAAGTAATAGGAGGTGGACAAAAAAATAAAAAATGATCATGATAGGAGGTTGGGTAGCAAAAGATAATGTATGTACGTGCCTGTGATGAAGCTTTATTAGGTCATGATGGAATGATAGGAAACCAAGTAAGAAATAAAACCATAAAGTAAAAAAAAATGTAGTAAGAAACGAAATATAAGATAGAAACAAAATAAAAAATAAATAAAAATAAGTTAGAAATAAAAATAAAACAAAAAACTGAGGAAACGAAACCTATACTGAAAATCTGCCACGTGATCGAAGATCCAGGCGATGATCGAGGCGAAGCAATTCCCTAGTTTATAAATATGTAGAAATTAATACTTTTATGCTATAAACTATAAAGAATTTTCATAAATTTATATATAACTGCTAAGGTTGTTCAAATTTCTCAATTTATTAAAAATTAAATTTATTGTTATTTAATGTACAAACTACAAAATTATGTATTTATTGAAAAAAAATACAAGACCCTTAACTTAGTGCCTCGACCCGTATCCGGATCAATCCGGATTGATCCGGATTTTTTTTTTTTT